CGCTTATATTTAAGTAGACAGCTTTTTTGAAATGCGTGACTGAGTATTTCTCTGAGAGTAACGTTTTTTTAATCCCTCTTTGTAGGCGAATGATATCAACAACTTACTGTAAACAACCTTACGTTTAACAAAAATGACAATTTGCTGTAAAATATATTTCGTCAATCCTTCGGTTTGCATTTGATATGCGTAAGTACCGTGATTATTGTTACTCAATAACTTCCCCATTTTAAAATTCCTTCTATCATATATCTATATTTTTGCAGGAATTTGTTTCCATATTCTGTTTGTTTGAATTAAAAGAACTAAAGCAATAGTTTTTGTAACTTATTATTAACATATAAAAGTATTATTATTATTGTGGGATGGCATCGTTCATTATAATCGGATGACGCGATAAGCTGTGAGAATAAATCTTTTACTTTTCCGATGATAGAAGTCAGACGATTCCGCCATTAAGACGATGCGACTGAAAGATGTTTACATGTAATAGACGGTCGATTCTCTTCATCTGTAAATATCATCTATGTAAATTCATCCTTCTACACATGTAATCATTTTGTAGTTTGTAGCAACTATTCATGTTTCCATTAAATATTCAAGTTATTTGTAAGTTGGACTAGTTTTATTAGCCCCTAGACAGCCACCTAAGAAGTAAGTTTACAGACATCATATTCCTAGACAGTAAGTACCGATTCTACATTATTATTATTATTATTACACATATATTCTTTTTTCTTATTTTCTTCTTATTATTATTACATACTGTTATGACTACTACTCTTGCATGTGCTGCTTATCAAAGATCGAGTTACATTTAAATTTGTTCCAAGGATATATTCAAGAAGCATTTGTATTAAAATAATAAACAAAATTAAAGAAAACACCTATTAGACTTTCACTGTTGTCATTAATAAAACTAAATTGATTTATAATAAACTTACTTTGTAGGAAATTAAATTTTGCTGAAAATTTTTAGAACTTTCAACTCAGACACCAAATAATGTCTGAAGGAAAATACTAGAATCCATGTCCTTAACACTAAGGTATTGGCTATTCTTGATCTAGTCAAATCAGTCTTAGTTTCATATCTTCTGAAATAAATGTCTTCTTTATTTTTAACATTTCATGTGTTCATTTCTGAAATGAATGAATGATGTCAATGTAGAACCAAAGAAGAAAAACGAAATAATAACACTTAAAAATAAATAACCTGAAATAATAACCTGAACTAATAAACTCAAACCTGAAATTGATGAAAATTTACTAAAGAAAAGAATTTAAATAGCATTATGATGTCATCCTCCTTGGTTTCATCCCATTTAAATAATTAAATTAGAGAATTTTTGCTGCATGTAATGGTAGCATCCCTAAGATCTAGTAATTTGCTTTATAAAATGGCAAAGCTTCTCAGGGCAGGTGGATAACATATGCCGTGGTAACGCAACGTAATGCGTAACGTGTGAAAAACCGAAAGACTAAACTGTAGATGCTTTCATATCAATGATATAAGTAAGATAAGAAATGCAGTAGTAGTAAATTAAAAATTCAAAGTTTCTAATAAAAGTAAGCAATATCAAAAAATAAAACTAAACAAAGGCTTGACATCATATCCAATGCAGCAATATTATTATAAGCTTGTAATCATTTGCATATAGTTGGAAATTTTAAACAAATTATATTTTTGAACTAAGATTTATTGGTACTTTTCCGTTTCGCCGGCTCAGATTTATTTATATTTATCTAGAATGGTAGATTTAAAAACAAACTGCACTACAAACTGATTTAAGAAGAGGTACTAACTGATATTAGTACCTCTTCTTAAAACCAATAATTGATAGGATAATTATGCATGCAATTAAATAATAAAAGAATAATAAAAGAAATATTTTTAATTTACTCCAATTTCATTTTGCAAAGCTTTTATTTTTAACTAAGGTTTTAATGAAATTATAATGAGTAATTAATATTTCCCCCCCTCTATCTGCTTATGTATTTTTCATCTGTTTAGTTTTAATTTTTACTTACCTAAGATATACTAAATAAAATGTTAGCAGCAGTTTGAATAGGATATGTTTTTTTAAGTCTTTATTAAATAATTTCACAATTTAACTATATATATATATGTAAAGTATAACAAAATACGTAGCTGCTTTAAAAAATAATTGACGACCTCAAAATTAGCATTCTAGATTTGGTGCTCTCCCACCTAAATTCATCCGTTCTTCTAAATTCGAGATCATTCCAAATTACGTAACACTGCCTAAAAAAGGTAACTAAAACTAATACTGACAAATCATAGCTTAGAATGCTCTCTGCACATACGGGGAGGTATAAATGTTGAGTCACGAGTACTACGCTCCCCTTTTTTTCTGACGTCTGCCATGGAAACAGCTCTGTGCCTTTTTTTTTTTTTTTTTTTTTTTTTTTCCCTGCTTAAAATAACGTCGTAGCTTTTAATTTGAGCCTATAAAAATTACTTGTATTCAAATATGATCGAAAAGTAATTTGTCCGCTAAAGAATAAATTTTTGATGCGCCTAGAAATAAATATGGTGAATCCCCGAAATTAGCTTAGAGATGCGCACTTAGAGATATTACACATATATATATGTTGTTAAATTGTTATATTTAAATACTTTATATATATATATATATGTGTGTGTGTGTGTGTGTGTGTGATATAATTCTGTTCGTTGCAGTAATTTGATATGAGATGAGTGTCTGACTAGGGAAGATGTTATTATTTTTGCAGTCGGGAGTGGATTGAAGTTAGAAGATCACTGAAATTTCGATTACGTGGTAGTCGATGACGGGAACTTTTGAAGAATTGCAAAATCACTTTATAAGGTATTTCTTCCGCCGTCTTAGCATGCCTTCGTGGTGTAATGGTCAGCCCGCTCGGCGCTTATTCGAGAGATCCGTGGTTCGAGCCCCGGTGAAGACATTGCTCATTCTTCTCATCTCCTGCTTCATAATAACCTAGTGTCTCTACAAATTTATAATCCAAACTTATATTTATTACTTGTTGATTACTCTGTAGCATGGCACATCATAACGGCGGCAATCTGCCTCCCACAATTTTGATGATGATGCTTTTCAGAAGCAGCCAAGCAAGAGACGTCCTTCAGCTAGCAAACGTAGTAGGCAGAGAAAGAGAGAGCTTAGTTGGATTTTAGCGGTGTTTATAGTAAAATTTTTCATTAATCTGATTGGCTAAGTAATATATGTAATGCAGAAGGTTAAGATGGCATAATACGGAGTAAATTTTCAGATATGACTCAGTTTCGAGAGAGTTATTGCTATTTTTAGAATAGAGAGAAGAAATACCCAAATTCAAAATGAGGAATTAGAGGCTTTTGGTAATTTAAAGTACTATACAGAGTTACATATATATATATACATATTTTGTCTTTTTATTTTTTTTTATCAGAAGCTAAAAGTTTTTGTAGTCCTTTTAAGAAGGATTTGAATCCCCGGATAACACATTTTAATTTATGATTCTTTTAAGCCTTATGGCAGTAGTAGTCTATAAATAATAATGTAATTCATTTTTACTTTAGCGCATACCAAGCTTTCAGTTTATATTTCTTTTGCATGCAAAATTCTCATAATACTGAAAAATTTGAAGTATCAACCGTTCCATTTATGAGGATAAATGTCCTTTCGTAGCCAACGTGTTTCTGATGGAAACTCAGGCTTTTAGAAATGAGGGAAAAGCAAAAGCAAATTCGCGTAAGTTTTTCAAGCGTGTTTTCCAGCGTGGATTATCGTCGCCTTTTAAGAGACTCACGCAGTTGGTATGATAATGCGATCCCTTTTAATTAAAAGTTCCGTAGCTGGTAGAGAGTGAAATTAGAAATGGAAGGTGGAATGTAAAATTTTTTTATTCGTTCTTTCAATTTTTTCCCGCTTTTGGGTTGAACTGCATATTTATGCACATCTCTGACGCATCAACCAAAGTTTGAGCTAATGCTTAAAATTGGGCCACCAGCAGCCTAGCGGTAGAAAACGCTGAACGCTGGTAGTTTGGTCCGGGGCTAGAGTCCCGGCGAACGGGCTGGTCGCAAGGGCGTTTTTCGTGGTTTTCTCCATACCTAATCTGGATACGAGTCAGTTTTCCTTAGAAAATCCTCCAAGAGGAATCACTTTCTTTCTATACCGTTCCTAAAGGCGGCGTACATGATAAATAAATAACTTATTAAAATACTTATGAATTTACATATTCAAGGGAATGGTTTTATAAGCTTCAACATTAAGACTTAAAACACCATTTAACGGGATATTACTTCAGGGAAGGAAGCTATTAAAAAATTTAAATGAACTCTAGTTAAATGAATAATTCGTTTTTATGCACAAGATTTTTACTCTATACGTTTTTTCTAATTAGAATAATTCTTAGTTAAGAAATTTAACTTCTACATTCAAATTTTTTACCTTTTTAATGAAAATCTTTTATTAAATATGCAATTTTAAGTACGAAATCTTTTTTTCCTCTTTAAATTATAGAATAAATATACTTTTAATTAATAGTGTTCTATTTTTTAAAAATATTCGCTGATGTATTTAAGTCAGCATTTTTAACTGAAGAATCGAACATTTCTTACTTTTCAAAACCCATCAACCTGATTATTGTTCAATAAAATATTATAAAAATTGTTTAGGTTATTAAAAGATAAAATGATTCTTGAACTTTTTCGCAAGAATTAATACCATGTGCTTAAAGAGTCTTACTCTATCAATAAATAAGGCCCACCAGCGGCCGAGCGGTAAAGTCGCTGAACACTGGTAGTTCGGTCCGAGGTTCGAAACCCGCGAACGGATTGGCTGCATGGGTATTTTCGTGGTTTTCCCTATGTGTAACGTGTATACGAGCCAGTTTCTCTTAGAAAGTCCTCCACGAAGGCATCCCTCCCCTTAGGCAGATAGCCCTAGTGAGCTTTGCCATAATTAAATACACACCGAATACACGCTATCAATAAATAAATCAGTACAAATAAATTAAAACAATATTTTTTTATTTTGTAACACGCAAAATATTTCAGAGCGTTTGTGCAAAGTGAGAAATACAATAACATTCTAAATAATGTAACATGGAATTTTAATTTTAAAATGATCTATGAATTAAGAAAATATTTCTCTTATATACATACATGTAAATATAATAAATGGAATGTGGACTTTTTTTTTTTCAAATATTCCAACAGGCATAAAAAATGTAAGAAAATTAATGCGAGAGTCGATTTTCTAAAGGCACTGTTTTTCACATTTTCTAATTTTTTGATGCAGTGCTTAATCAACAGAGTCATCTGGACGTAGAAAACAGTTCGTGCATAATTTTTGAAAATCCTTAACGTTCAATAATCAACTAAGTTTTTCAACTTTCAAAATAGTTGAGAAAACAGCTCAGTGATACACGTCAACTTCACTTTTCATATCTCACGAATCTAGCTCTATATTCAGTGGTCAACGTGCATAATAAATTAAAACTTATGTACAAATAATACACTAACAATGTACTCTTTATAAATATGATATAATGTATATGAAATAAAATGGGATATAAACAGTTCAGTATTTAAAAGGCTTCTTTCTTTATGTTCAGACTTGCAGAGCAATGAAGATCTCGCGAAAAATATTAGTGTTCATATTACTTAAAACTCCTGCTTAGATTCAAGTTCAAATACTGTCGCAGAACACAGGCGCACAGAAATTTCTTTTCTTCTGTTTTTTTCCCGTGTCACTGTTAACGATGAGGTAGGCCTTAATACAATCTGAAAAAGAAATGCAAATATGAGCAAAAACTATAAATAAAAAATAAAACATTAAATTTCAATCATTAAGATACCCATTTCGATTGAACACTGGTAGTTTGTCCCACCCTAGTGTTCAATCATCTTATTCACTCAGTTATGTTATCACTATCACTTATGGTAAGCTATGGTTTTGTTTTATTTTATTTAGAAATTGCTGAAATGTTGTTAAGTTTTCATGAAAAATCTGCATCCATACATCTCAGTGAGAAAGTAATGAATTTGTTACACTTTAATTTATTCTATAAAACCTTTACCTTTATTTATTAAATATCATGTTCCTTGAACTTAAACCATAAAATTCAGTTCAACAGCAAAGTCACAAAATAATTTTAAAATGAGCCTCGTTTTAGAATATAGTACATACATAGTTGCGCGCGCTGAAGATAAAAAGGTTTTTTTTTTCGCGCTCCCGTAGAGTGTTGCAATTGCTCGGTTTGAAATCGTTGAGTTTGTTCATTAAAAATTCGTTAAAGTTTTACAAAATAGGAAATCGATAACAAAATAAATTCCATATTTCAAATTCACTGATTCACTGTACTGTATTTTTCAGTTCCTTTCAGCATTCCTTGTTACAGTTCTGGAGTTTCATTTCTCGCTAAATCTTTTAAATTATTTAAATCAGGATCTTAGTTATCTTAATTACGAATTAAATTATTATTTTTTTTTTTTTTCCTTCTGTAAAAATACTAATGCTAAAATTTTAATGTACTGCAGGTCAGATGCCGGCATTTCACAGAAAGCAAAGCATTGCTCAAGTAATACAGTGACCGAATTTCCTGTTCATTATACTCCTATAAATCCCTCCCTCGATGGGAGAATCCCCTCCTAGAATAGGACTGAAAGAAAAAAAAGAGGAAAAAAAAAAAAAAAAAACTAAGTAACCAACCACATCTCTTACTAACGATATACAGACCCAGATAAAAAATATAGATATATATATTTAAGGTAAAGAAACACCATCTTTGAGGAACAGAGCAGCCTTGACAATGCAGGGGTCACCCATAGAGCCTCCATTGTGGACCTTACACCCCTCTGGGTGCTTTTGATCCGGTGAATGCTACCTGTTCTGCTTTGGCACTTGTTTGTCTGTGCGTCCGTGCATTTGACCCATTGCAGGCTAATGCTGGATTTTTGAAAGTATTTTTTATGAAGGACAGAGAGGTTGAAGTCCTTTGTGAAAAGTCTTAGAGTCGGTGGAGGGTGGATCATCTGTTGTAAGACGGGCGGATGTCCGTCTGAATTGCGTGGGGGCTTGAAACATGTGCACAAGGTCGAAAATTTTTATTATTTAGGGTGATACACTGTACAATAACTTTATGATTTTTGGCGATAACAATAACTCTCAGAGGCAGCGAGTAATGAAGAAGCGTATTCACCTTCTGTCAGGTCATTCCTTTCGAAAAATTTTCTTTCTTTACTTGGTCTCTTCCGAAGGCAAAGAGACAAGAAAAGTATTGTAAGGTATTAAGAATATGTTACACGATAATACTATATAAAAGTCGAATGGGACAGCTAATCAGTTAGATTTCTAGTAAAACTAGCTCCTCTGCACAATCTCTAAATTCATCGTATCCGAATATAACGTCTAGGTATAAGGTCAAATACCAGTAACTTCTGGCTAAGACAGCAAAAATATTTTTAAAAATACAATTTGGAGACTTTATTTTTAGCAAATAGTAAACGTTGTTAAATATCTATCAAAAACGTAATCAATTATAGTGAGTCCTCTCTAAAATGACCATCCAAATTTCCAAATTTTCGTTTTTGTGAAAGTGATCTTCTTACATAAAGGATATTTAACAGTATAATGGCTATTTTTGCTTCTTTTCTCAGAAATACTGGTCACGTTCAAATGTGATAATTTTAGGGAGATTTTAGGGGTCACCGAGAAGGGCTTCACTGTATTCTGCAATTCAAGTGCTTAACATCTGATATTAGATTGCCTTTTATTAATTTTACTAACAGCGTAAATTTTTGAAAAAATTATCCTATAGATGTATTAGAAATTTTACTATTAAAAGTATTATTAAAGTAAAATTATTAAATTATTTAAAATTATTTAGAATTTAATTAAAGTTATTTAGAATACTGTTTCTCAATCTCTGTTAGAATAGGATGAGAGATGATAAAAGAGATTAATTCGTTTGATTGATGACTGCTTCGGTCAAGTAAAGTATTGCGTCACGGAAATTGGAAAGACTAGACTGCAGACATTCCTAACACCAACATACATTTCAAAATCACACAATATCTTTAAAACTGAATAAAATTATGTAGTTAACTTTATAGAAACATTAAATGCGTTTTATGTCCGTATGGCAAGAGTCTCTATTTTTCAGTTAGCAACAATTTTCAGCCAAAATATTTTCACAAATTATTATTCTTCACTGCTGAGTAAATTCGGAGAACACGTTTGCTGTTTGAAGAAGAACGATTACCTTCCAAATCCCCTAGAAAGCTCATTTAAAAACTCAACTTCAGTTCAAATTTCAGTTTATCTGATTTGGGCAAAATCAGTGTTAATCTATGTTCAAATTTGATTAATTTCGAACAACGTCTGCATTAATACATCTATAGGAAAGTTTCAGCATAGCTAATTTTGCCCTTCTCTTCCATTTATCATTCAACAGCTTATTCCATTGACCTTCTTAAGAAAAGGCATTGTTTAATAAGCGGGCGAAAATTGAGTATGTATACCATCTGAATTTCCAGTGCGATTAATCTCAAGTCCGCCTTCTAAATATGTAAAGCGATCTATACTATGTAAATCACTATCAGCTAATAAAATCACTGAAAATTCTCAACTAAGACTAATGTATAAGACAATAAAATTGCTTTTCTTTAAGTCAGCTAAAATAGTGAAATGTAAAAGACCTTTTCATGATAAAATAAAAATAACTTCATCTAAATCAACAAAATGTCTAATACTGTACGAAGAAAAGCGAGCAAGTTTCTTTTTAGGTGATATGGAAATATTACATAAAATTATTTCCTAATTTCATATTGTTTCTCGTAGTGTGATTAAGAATGCCTTTTCGAGCAATGAATTGAGATTCAAACTGTAGTTTCTTACATTTTGTTATTTTTAGATTATTTCACAGATAACGGATTCAAACTTTTCAAAACTTACAATATTCCAACTCTGTCTACATCTTTATCAGCAACAAAGCTTTAAACTCAGTCAGTTGATGGAAAATAAAATTTTTATCACAAAAAATACCATCGAGATTTTATTATTTTCACTCAACTTTTAATCGCTATCTATCTCTGTAAGTTGCGCAAGTTATAATTTTGAAGAGTACGATTATTTTCAGTAAAAATTTGGAACTTTGAACACTTGAATTTTACTTTTTTGAAAAAAAATGTAAAATTGTTATGGAAAATAAAAGATGGAAAACTCGAAAATGTTTGTTAATGAATAATGTGCAGTCTTAAGCATCTGCAATCAGTCACCGTAAATAAAACTGAATTAGTTTTTTAGAAGTTTTAATTTTTTCCCTTTCTATTACTTCTTGTAGTGAAATTTTTCAACGCTAAATTTATGTCAGTTGAAGAATACCCGTTTAATTTACTATTTATTGCGAAACTTTCTTACTTGGGAGCAAGACTTTTATTGTCTGAATAACAGATACTTTCACTGATTGCCAATAGATGGCAGCACCATTATTAACACTGAGCAGAAGTCGAACAGTTTACATTGCTTCTGAAACACAGCGCGGAAATATCAAATTAATCTTGCAAATAACCATCAGAAAGATTACCTCTCATTTCAAGAAATTTGTTATGTATAAGTTACATCATTACAGAATTTATTAATATTCTGTAGCAAACATTAATGCAATTCATCTAGCAGATTAAGTCGGAAACTTATTGAAGTAATATAATTTTGAAGTAAGCGATATTGTGTGCTACACTGTAAAATAAAATAGAATACAGATTAAGTATCTGTTTTTCTGCTATTAAAGAGAAATAGCTGAAACTAGAGAATTTTTAAAAAAAAATTAATTAAACTTTAATTCCTTTCTTTAAAACCTTTAAAAAAAAAAAAAAAAAAAAAGAGGATAACAGCTCAGATTTAAGAGTACGCAAAGCATATGAAAAAAGCGAACAAACCAGGGACTTGCTTTCTTTAGAAGGTCCTCCACGAAGTTATCTCTCCCTTTAGACAAACAGTCCACATGCGTTTTGCCATATTCAAGTAAATAAATGATAATAATAAAAAACATCAACCACTAGTGGGCCATCTTGTGTTAATTACTTTTAGATTTAAATGGAGATTTTAGCTAATATCTGGATTCCAGACATTTCCCAAATTTTAACCAATACTAAATATTATGAATCTTTGACATACACAAAACAATTTTCTTAAAAAAAAAAAAATATGTCTAGTTCTCTGTTCTTTTAATTTCTTTAAGGAATTTTTTTTTTTTTTTTTTTTTTTTTTTTGAATTGGGGTAATGAGTGTTTAAAAGTTTTAGTTTTTGCATTTATTAAATTCTTTGTTGCCTTTATTAGATTATTTGAAATTTATTAATTATGAATTTTCAAAATTTTCGTCTTTTCGAAACATTAGTTCTAAATTTCTTACTTTATAAATTTACTTTTTCTTACTTTATATAATCCATATATGCTTTAGTAAGCGATTTGTCGCTTTAAAACTCTTAAAGACAGCTGAAGAATAAAGCTAGAAATTTTCTTATAGAGAAAATAGCTGATATAGTTAATACGCATTCAGTTTTTAAAAGAGATAATGTTGCATGTGCGACATTTTATGTATCAGCAAGAAATTGGACTACAGCTTATTATTTCGTGTCAAAGCCTAAACATTAAGTCGTCATTATACTTAAAATATAGTAATAAAATCATAAAATATGAGCAAAAATAAATGCTTAGGAAAGAAAACCTTGTCTCTTTTTTTTCCTCATTCGTGACTACTATTTCCTGCCTTAACAAGATTAATTGTTCTCTGCCTTGTTTTATACAGTTTTGAGTTGAGTTCTCGTACAATACAGCTATTGTGGAACTTCGAAGGCTACACTACAAGCATTGAGTAAAAGAGAGGTAATAAAATATTACAGAAGCTTAAAATAAAATCTTGTTCATCATTTTTGGCAAAGGAAAAGGGGATATTTCTTTCTGTTCCAGTTCTGAATCATGGTCATTAAAAGATTTTCTAAATGTGAGTGAGTAGAAAACAGGATGCTTCCAAATTTCGTTTTGCTAGCTGAAGTCACAAAGGAAGTAGAGTTATTAAGAAGGAATATGGGTTTTTAAAGACTAATTCTTTTGATATTTTGTTTAGGTTATCTTTTTGTTTATGAATGGTGTTTCAAAGTTAAATTTATCTCATTGCTTTTCGAGTGGAATTGTCAATTGATTTTGGGAAAAGACTCGTTATGCATATAATATATAGCATTCAAATTGGAGTAGGATTGATTGAATAAATGGATAACATTGGCAGAACAAATACGACACTGAACACTAGTGGTTTGGTTTGTTTATTCGACTATGGCAAAGCCGTCTAGGGCTATCTGCCTAAAGAGAGGAATGCCTTCATGGGGGACTTTCTAAGGGATGCTGGAGGGTATACACATTACACATAAGGAAAAACCAAAAAACGCCCATGGAGCTAGCATGAGACCGTTAGGCGGGATTCGAACTCCAGACCCTAAACGCTGGTGGAGCATCTCGATTTGATTTACGGAAACTAAAAAAATCTTGCTGCATGGGATTTCCGCGTTTTTTTTTTTTTTTTTTTTTTCCTGACGTGCAATGCAAGCATGAATCATCTCTTAGACGATCTGCCATGAAGACATATCTTTCGATTAAGCAACTAGCTCAATTATTCTGCCATAATTAATGACTTTAATCAAAGTTATTTTAAAATACGATAAAGAAATCTTGGGCTTTCTGTCTCTGAATAGATGCCTTTATGGAAGAATTTTAAGAAAAATGTAGCTGTATGTACATCGACTACTAGAAAAACCACATAAAATGTACGTTGTGGACCCACTAGGAATCGAATATATGAAAAACTACCATGGTTCTGATATTTTCTCTAGCGTAATAACTGAGTATTCCATGGTTTTGATATTTTTGCTGAAGTTAATCACAAATTTAATACTGAGCCAAAAAGTTTAATCATTCGCCCATTGATGAGACAAAGAATTTAATTATTAGCCCATTAATGAACCAAAGAGCTCAAAGGCTTAGAAGCTGAGATAGAAGAGAGGTAATTAATTCTTTTGAAAGACTATAAGGTATTTCTCCCGCCTTCTTAGCATGCCTTCGTAGTGTAGTGGTCTGCGCGCTGGCCGCGTATTTCTGAGGTCCGTGGTTCGATTCCCGGCGAGGGCGTTGCTCATTTTTCATCACTCTTGCTTTAAAAATAGCGTAATGACTCTACAGGACGAAGTAAAATTAGGTAATGCAGAGAAAAAGCAGCTTCTGCTTCCTGGTACACAATTGGTATGCATGAACATCCCAATCAATATGAGGCTAAGCAAAGGCTGGTTGTCACACCGAACGAAATTCGAATTGTTCGAATTCGAATGACAGTGTTCGAATTCATTTTTAATTAAAACCTTTTTGTGGTGAGCGGGCATCGATCCATCCAAAAACAAAAAAGTGTTGATAACAGGATATGACCCTCAGATTTCATCTTCTCAAGGTAGTTCTTGATCAAAACTGTGCCGGAACTTACGAGTAAATAAATAGACAACGTGGGTTTTGCTGCAGTTGAATAATCTTGTATGTTTACTCATTTTTTTTGTTTAGAAGAATGTCCAAGAATTATTTTTCTTTTTTTATTTTTATATTCTTTTACCCTAAACTGGAAAAAAAAAAAAAAAAAAAAAAAAAAAAAAAAAAAAAAAAAGACACTCCAATATAAAATTTAAAATTAAGCATAAACAGCAGCCTTATTTTGACGTAGGTTTTTCAATAGAACTCTATCGATTCGCTTCTGAATACCTGCCGATCATTTTACTTCTGAAGACGAGAGATACAGTTAAAGCAGCAACCTTATTTTGGCGTAAAAATTGGATAAACTCTATCAACTGTTATCCTAAACATCTCCCTATCATTTTACCCCTGAAGAATAGAGATAAAGTTTTAAAAAATGATAGAGTTTTATTCAAAATTTAAGCTAAATTAAGATTGTTGCTTTGGCTAAATTTAAATTCTCTTGTGCGCAAGAGCTTAAAGTATTAAGTTTTACTTAAATTTTAAGTATTAGCTTCATTCATGAAGCTTTCAATATTTAAGTACTTACTTCTCATTAAAAAATTTCAAATTATATCCCTCCATTTCTTCCACCCCCTTTTTTTTTTTTTTTGTTTGTTTTACAGATTCATTTATAGTTGATATAAAGCAAAATGTTCATTTAAAAATTTGTTACAAATTATTTATGAAACTTTATTTCACATTTAAGTGCAGTAAGAGGAGGATGCTACAAATTACTTGTTCAAATTCTAATTAAAAAAGAGCCCAGTTAGTAAGGAATAATACTTCCTTAAAAATATTTTTTTTCAGTATTTTAACAACAGCCAACATTTTGACTTTCCTTGAGAGAGATATTAATATGTCATAAAACTTATTTATAATTTATAAAATACGTATAAATTTTCATTTGTTTTAAACAACACTAGATAATTTCAGATGAAGATAGCAGATAAACGAATTAAAATGTTTTTTGTACATCATGTTGCGTAATATATACTTACGTAATAATATATACTTATACTTACATATATACGTAATTTATATACGTAAGTATAAGTATATATTATTCAACTTATCGTATTTTACATTCAATACTCCTGTAAAACTTTCGAACTGAGATAATTACTATATTTTCTTTACGGCGGATGGTATCAGTATAGATTACATTGACCTTTTGCGAAAATAACATTATTTTACATTTCGATACAATTAATTTTTTTTTTTAACGCCTTGCATTTTCAGACTTATAGAATGAATATTTTTTACATTTTAAGGTTGTAGTAATGCCATCTTATTAGCTGATAATAAATACGAAAACTGCGTATAAACTGATATTCATATAACATGCATAAATATTCTGATCATACATTAAATAAAGTAACAATAAAGTATTCTTTCTTTTTCTGCTTTGAGTATAAAAAGGAAAAAAAGGTGATTTTAAAGTTTCAGTTTAAGTGTAGAAAAAGGGAGATTCATGACAATAAAAATTATTATTTCTATATTGCATAACATTAAAAGCACTTTAAATGGTTAATAAAACAATGAAACCGTTAAAATCATGCATTTCTACAAAGATAAGCAAATATACATTTATTCGAATCACGCAAGCATGTTTCTGTTCACGGTCAAGACTATAGTAAATTATCATCCCTTTGAAGAGCTGATCTAAAGCATTAATAGAGGAATAATTAATTAAAACTTTTATTAAAAGCATTTTTCTTTCAATTTTTATTTACTTTGTTATAAAATTTAATATTTCCTTTTTTAAAACTAAATTTAAAGAATTTTTCCAGCATGTTATAATTTTATTCTTCCAATTTACAAATTTGAAATTTTTGTTATATACATAGTAAAAAAATGACTTGTGTATTTATGCATATAATATAAAACTTTTTTTCTTTGTTAAGTTTATCAAAAATTATTAATTTTAAAGTACTAAAAATTGCTTTTTATGAAAGAATTGAGGCATTTATAAAAATGAAAATAATGAAATATTTGTTTGTATATTCTTCTAATAACAGCATTAAAAATCGTAAGTGCTTATTAGTTATTTATTTCGCTGGTGAATTTGTATTTTAAGTTAACAATTCATTTATATCGATTAATGTGCACTTTTTATCAGCTATTTTGCGTCTTACAATAGTTTTGCATCTTTCCTATTCTCAACAAAATATACAAAGAATCATTGCACTACGTATTTTACCCTTAATTTTGCATAAATATTTTTTTAATTTAAAAACAATGTTTCAAATGTTTTAATTAACATTTACGCTTCAAATACCACAGAAATAAAAAATTAGCACATAAAATGAGAAAGTACTGTTAGATTTAATCAGTTAAAGATGTGCTATAATATCATCTTTCAGAATTTTAATATAGCATATGAAACATCATTTCAAAGGTTTTTTCTTTTTTAAATTTTGTGTAAAAAAGTAAGCATGGGATACAGTAATTAACCGTTAAACAGTACTCTAAGGTATATTGAAAATTACATCTTTAATAACATTATCAGCAAATATTTCATAAAATATACTTGCCAAATGTTTTCATTTAGGTTAAAGAAACGGACATAGATTTGTAACCCTTCATCATATCCTTTCCTTATGATTTCATCAAAAATATATCCTTATTCTAAGTAAATTATAGTTGATTTATGTTAAATGAGAACTGCTGTAATAAAATCACTGTTGTAATAGATAAAATGCACATACGACTTTCATTTGTATATAATCTTAAACACATTTATCTTATCATGGATATAATTAACTTTGCTTATAGAGACAAAAGTCTATTTAGTTCTGTTAATCGTTATAATATATTTATCTCAATCCAAAAGCAGTTGTAAAATTTTATCAAAAATTATTAAGCTTTCAACTTAACCAGATTAGAAGTAAATAATGTAAATGGGCTTACTTCAGTGAGTTCAAAACCATGTCGTGAAGTCCATGAGTTCATCATCTTCCTCACCATGCATAACATCATAAGGCGAGGATGCTTCTGAACAGAGACTGGGAGTGGGAGATCCCGTCGAAGACTGTCCACCCGTCGGGTACGAATTCTCATCTATCGTTCCTCCCTGATTCATCATCCCTGTCGTCGTCTCACCTAACAGTTCTTGTAGACTCTTGATATACTCAACGGCTGACCTCAGTGTGTCCACTTTGCTCATTTTCTTATTCTTGGTTGAATTAGGAACATGCTGTCGAAGCGTTGCGAACCCGAGATTCACGAGTCGAACCCTGTTTCTTTCGCGCTCATTCCTTCGAGCAACAGCTGCTGGTTGAGGATTCATGCTTTTTCCTGAAGAAGGCAAATGTCCGAGTTGTATTCTTCGTTTGCACCGTAAAAGTTCTGTAGAATCTTGCTGGTGGTATTTATGGTGATCTGGCAATTTTGGTGCTATTCTTTGAGCGTTAACTGTTGATGGGGATGAGTGAGTTGCTGTTGGAGACAAACTGTTGGTCATGAGAGTACTGCTACCAGAGGTCGTCGATACGAGATAACAAGTTGCACTGTTTAGGAGATTTTCGGAATGATTGCCGTTTAAGAGAGCCATAGATGCCATCTTCAACAAAGTCCAAGCAGGTTGTATTTTAGTCAATATCTTAAATGCAGAGGTTTTTTTTTTTTTTTTTTTTTTATTATTATTATTAATATAGTACAGAATTCATTTTTTTAACAAAATAAAAACTTAGAAACTTCTGACAGTTTCTTTGATAAAGTTTATTGTTTGCTGAATAGGATGATTCGCTGATTCTGTACAGAGATGCGAATTAAAAATCAATTTTGCGATTGACGTTTTTGACAGGAAAATGTTTCATTATGGTCCACTAACAACAATACAAAAATAATCAACTCAGCACGGTTTCAAGGAGCTCGTGATAAAGTCACTATGAAATCTGCCAAAATGTTTCTGTAAATTGCATGCACAGCGTAAACAAAAATTCTAGCTTGAAATTTTTTCGAGGTTAGACTCTCCAGCAAGATGTTGCAGGATCCCGTGTTGTTGGGACGGCGCTTCCAATTTGACTTTAACCGCGGGGAATACACAAGGCACGTTGGAATACAGAAGGAACAAAACGGTGAGCTCTTGCCGCAAAGGCGTTCGCTGCTGAACTGAAACCGGCTCCCAGACCGTGTATTCTTTAAAACTGGGAGACCCCTCTTTCTCTTTCTTTATTTTCTTTTTCAGCGTCCCTCATGAATAATAGGCTCCTCCCTGTCCCCCGGGTGTTACGAGGATGGTTGGAGGGAGATGAGTTTTCGCCCCTCGAGCTCGCGTGTCCGATTTTGCAAGGGGGGAGTGAAAGAGTGCTCGTTGCGAGGACGGAACAGGGGGTCGCTATAACTGCTGTGCCCCTTCCACTCTATGTATGAAAGCATGACGTTGACAGGAAGTGTAGTCAAATGCTTTTTTGGGTATTGCTTTTATTATATAAATCACAAGTGTTCGCTGTAGTGGTCAAAGTGATAGAGAGGATTATTGATATGCAAATTTCTTGCTTGAAAATGGTGGATTTTATGCTATATCAAATCTAAATACAAGATTCGTGATTATTGAATGCAAATACAAGATTCACGATTGATAACTATTGTATGTATAATACTTCAAACTGGTATTTGAATACTCATATATAATATAGTCCTACTCAGATTTTATTATTATGATGATGAAAAATCATGCTCGAAAAGTCCAATTTTCATTTACAGTAAAAATTAACATTGATACAAACTGTGTCATATACTAATGAAAAATTTATGAAATGCTGATTCTTATTGCATGTGTATGCATACACTGGATACAAATTTAACCTTAGCTGAATAGTAATTTCTATCTTTTCAAATGAGTAAGGAACTTAATGATAAAAATTGCTTTAACTCGTCCAGTAATTGAACTTACTTTTATCAGTAATAATTTAAATATTTTAATCGATAATAATACTAATTAATTTACTAATTAAAATTAATAATTAAAATAATAAATGCTCAACTTCTTATTCATTCAAAAACCGAAAACTAATTCGTAATCGTAAATTTTTAAGCATTTACGTTTTAAGTAACAATACGTTTATTATTTAACAAAAAAAATTTGCTTGGTTTAAGAAGGTACTCTTAGGTTATTAATTTTTTAAACGAGAGCTTACCGAATAAATCTGCTAGGAAAGCTAATTAAAATATAAGGAAACTGCACTCGACTGCCTATTTGTAAATTTTTTATTCATCAAAATTGAAGGTCTTGATAAAATACTTTTTCAAAAATTAAGAAAAAATAATAGAAAATTTAATTGGAATACATAAGATAAAAAATATAGCTTTTCAAAAGTTTACACCTCTTGTTTCGGGTCGATTTTTTGTGAATCATATTGATTTTAAATGAATTATTCGTTAAAAATTGCAAAAGGGAATTGCTATATTCACCTATAGAAAATTAGATTTTTAATTGCCATGTAATTACTTTTATTTAGCTAAAGTTTTTCTTGATAAGGTTATTTTTTATTAGTTTACCGGTTATTTAAAAATGAGCGTCGAGTGGGTTTCTAGTTAAACAGCGAAAGCATGCAGGGAGAAGGGAGAAAATATATCTTATATTGTAATAAACTATAAATTTTCATGTAAGTTTAAAATATATTGAAATAAAATAATTTCTGGTTTTAATATGGCTTTTGATCTGAAACGCATCGTTTAAATTAATAACAAGTGGGATTCGCTTTTTAACAGGGTGTGAGAATAAGGGGGATAGAGCCATTAACTGTCAAACAATTTGTTAAAAGTTCAAAAAAGAACTTTAATTTCATATTATAATAATTTTCTCTAAGGTATGCATAAAAGAAGTTTTTAGCACTAATTTAAATAAATTTTAATTAATAAATTTAATTAATGTAGCATTCATATGTTACTCAGTTGATATTTTTTATATGAAATAAGAATGTAAAATAAGGAGAAAATGATGTTCCTATCTCTGTAATAAAGAAAAAAGACTTTCAGAGTAATATATCTCCTTTAGACTTTCAGAATAATTAATGAGTTTTGGGCTGAATCAAGCGTGCACGAAGGTGTATATATATATATGTGTGTGTGTATGTAGTTTTGGTATATATTATATATATTGCTACATCTTATATATACACTCAAATTGCAAAGAAAATGTAATAAGGCTCTAAAAAATATTTCCTGTGCATAATGCTACTAAGATATAATTTGTAAATATTGATTTTAAGTTAAAATTAAAACTAAAAAAGATAAAAGAAAAACTAGTGAGAGAATAATAAATGAAACATTTTGAGCAAGTTACAAATGGAGTCAACGGAATTTTTGCAAAATAAAAATGGAGTCAAACGAATTTTTGCAAAATAAAATAAAATATAGTAATGTAAATTACTACTAAAAATGGAAAAGCTGTATTATGATTTTCAGACTTTTACACTGTGAAGAAGATGTGAATACATCTTATGATAATACGCGTTTTCCTAGCAGATTTATTCGGTAAGCTTAAAATTATTGAAGGAACTAAATTAATAATATAAACACTTTAAGTATCTCAGAAAATTAAAAGCTCTTTTCCTACAGAATTAATCTTGCTTCCACAAAAAAGATATTAAATAGTTACTCATTCTGTACATGTGAATCCAAGTGAACAAATTTCAAATAAATATGAAAAAATATAGTACTTCTTAAATTGTAATTCATTATACTTAGATAATAAACTTAAATTCACGTCGTATATAGAAAGTAAAACAATGAAGATAATAATACTGCCTTTTCCATTTTTTGTAATTTGCATTAGTGCATTTTATTTTATTGATTTTTTTGTATTTGTTATATTATTTTGCAAGAATTCTTTTGATTCGACTTTAAATTTTATCTTGCAAAAATTCTTTAGACTCCATTAATTTGCTCAAAATGTTTTATTGATTATTCTCTTGCTTGTTTTTTTCTTTTGCCTTTTTTAAAATTCGATATTTACAAAGTATATATATACACATATAAAATTAAAAAATAAGAATTAAATCAGGTAAAGGTCTAATATCCTAACAAGAAGTGCACATATCATAATTGAAACAAAAAAAGTTCAATAAAATAAATAAACATAATAAAACTTTTATAAAGTATATAAAATTATTGAAAATTCCTTGGTCTTCTTCACAGAACAGCCAAAGAGTTTTCAACAGGGCCATATTTTCGAATCATATCTGGACAATTGTGAATTCTTAAACAATCCAAAAGAAATTAAGATAGTTTTAAAATAATCAGTTAAAGTGCTCTAAAAATGAAAAATAGTAAAAAAAAATTCTTTAATGTTTTTAATTTAATTAATTATCAAGTTATAATTTGTCCCTACGGCACCCTACTATAAATAATTGTAAAAATAAACATTATAAGAAGAATTCTCAAGTAAGAAACACTCAATAATTTTCTTATGATGTTTGTATGGCATTAGGAATATTTTTGATTGTTTTTGAAAATGCTGCGAATGTTCATAAAATATTATCTTTTGCATATATCATAAATTAAATGAATTTTATCGTATATATAAAATAGTAGAATAAATATTAAGTAAATAATTAATAAAATACAAAAACTATTATAAATTAAATTAATGTATCATATATTAAAAATTGTAATGATATATTACTATCATTACTGTAAAAATTAGAAAGGCAATGCTGAGCATTACTACAAATGGTGAAATGAAGACTTAAATTTATTAAGAAAGGGTTTCAGAACTAAGTAGTGGAAATAATCATATCTTCTTCGAAGTCTTAAAAAAAAGGGGGGGATTTTATAGATTTAACAACTAGCATGAATAGACTAGTGAATGGCATTATTAAATTCTACAGATGGTATGACTCAGCTATAGGTTATCTAAGGAGGGAAAATTCCGTATTTCTCGGTGTTTGAGTTCGCTTGGCAGAAATTCAGTCATTTGTAGATTTAGATTAAGATTTTTAAAACTTTTGCTTTGAAAATAAAAATACTTTATTCAATTACTATTTAAAAGGAAGTAATGGTGATCTAGAATTATTTTGGTGTGGGCTCATAGAAACTCATGGTATCCTTTATTATGTACCTGATTATGAAATTAACAAAATTAATTTTACAACATTCAAAAATTACATATTTATTTAAATTTCAGTTTAAAATTTTAAAACTGCGTCTTTACTTATTGCCTGAACATTAATTCGAAATCTTTTAAATTATGTAACTGTAAATTAACCTAATAATGAATGAATTTCATCAAAATATTATAAAAAGTTTGAAAAGTTTAAAATGAATCAAATACTTATTTTCAGTCAGGAAACATTCTAATTTTGTTGTGTTTGTATGTAGAAAAAAGTTACTAAGTGCTAGTAAGAGAAGGGGAAAAGAGTAACTTCTCTGTCATGCAATGTAGTAGCAGACCATTTTAATGGTTCTTAAAATCGTCAATAGATGGCGCGTTAATTCAGAAATGAGAGACTTTCAGGAACCCATTGAGAAAGCGCCGTTTTTTTCTTGCTGTTTGCTTTGAAAAGCTAAAAAATGAAATTGTATAGTAAGATAATTTTTTTATTCTCCAAGTTATATTTAAATATCTTAAATCCTTAAGATACTTTGCAGGATTCTGAAACTGACATAAAACGTTATATATTTAATTTGAATACAGACGGAAAGCAAACAATACTACCTGAGCAACAACTTAGCTATGGCCTTAGAAAAGTAGTGCTCTTTCGTATCCCAAATTATTTAATAACAAACTCAAACTTTTGTCTCTAAGATCTAGAGATTATCAAGAAGACAGAATACGAAACTGTATCAAACATGTTAGCTTATTTCTTAGATAATTAATTAAAATCTAACGAATGAACAGTTAAATGCTTATTATTTTATTAGCCGAAAGCGGCAATTTGCCTAGAAGGGCTATTAATTTCGTTTTGGGATTTTGCCTTGGTTAATTATAAACGCCGTTTCACTTTTCAAATTGTTGCCACCAAATATTAGAGCTCTGCATTATATTTAAAGAAATTAAATAATGAAAAATATGCATGAACGTATGCATGTTTCTCGCATTGTGAAAAAACAACAGTACGTAGAAACATCAAATTTTGAATAACGTAGTCCTCCACTAGAATATGGGCATTTGGAAGCCCA